ATTATTAATTTTCCACAGTTTCACAATTGTATGTTTATGTCACAACAAACAGGATGGTGCATTTTCTTCCGTCAGGTTGAGCCAAATACATGTAAAAAAGGGAGAAAACACATTTACAGCACTTAGCAGACACTCTTATCCAGAGCAACTTACAATTTGATCATTTTACACAGGTAGGTGAAGGCAGTGTTAGGAGTCTTGCCCAAGGACTCTGATTGGTATAGTGTAGGGTGTTTACCCAGGTGGGGGATTGAACCCCAGTCTGTAGTGTAGAAGGCAAAGGTGTTACCCATTATACTATACAACCATTTTTTCAGAGAGGTTATCAAATTATTAGACGTCTTTGCAAAACAATTAGTAAACTTCTGGTATGGCACCTTTAGGGGGCAGCGGTGAGTAATCTTACTTTAGCTCTGTATCTGTTGCCAGCTGACAGCCAGAAAGTAAGATATCTAATCAGCCAATCTACTTTAGGTTTGTACTTTAATAGTTGCATACAATGAACAAAATAAAACAAATTGTTAATCACAATTATTTATATGCCAATTAATCATTAGCTAAAATGTAATGATTGTGACAGGCCTAGTTGCAGGATACCATGCAGGCTAACTTATTCATAAATGCGTTGATAACCAGCTCATGGAGGCATGACTAGCTAACATGAGAGTAGAATCTGACCCTAAACAGCCGCTGTGAAGCTGCTACAAGGATGTGAGAATTTTCAGGCTCAAGTTTGCTTTCGGAATCGTCTTCTTTTGACTCATACATATAGATAGATGTTTCAGGTAAGTCTCAACTTTTTTTAGACACTCGATGGAGCATCTTTTCTTTGTGTGTTTTTAAGTCCGACAGAGCGAATGCAGCGTCCTAATACATTAAAGCTGCATTGTGACACTGCGTTAGCTTCTAATGAATATGCAATGCACTGAGGTACCAGCCCACACAACACAGTGGCACAAGGAACTGTATAACATGATATATTTAGGCAATTATATGAAAAATAATTATTTTTTATAAATATTAAAACTGTGCTGGGTCTTTAAGAAGCAGAGGCTGGAGTTACAGTAGCAGTACTGTACCTTTCCTCTCCAGAGTGGATCTGCCGTATTCCACATACTTCCTTAAATAGTCGACACAGTCATTGTCCAGATAGTGCTTCCTGAAATTTGGATCTCCAGCAGGCTCCCACTTCAGTTTGGTACTAACTGCTTTCTGATGAGCTGCAGTCCAGCTTAACGTTCTCATATCCAGAATGAGGAAGTCTTCTCCATCATAACCAAACTGAAAATATCCTGTAACAGTGCCATTTTCACCCAGCTCACAGCCAGACCTCCTCTGTAACGTGTGAACCCCTACAGAGACACACAAGAACATGAACATGTCATACAGACCGCCTGGTGGGAGTCCTTACACTCAAATAACATTCAACATATCGTCGCTGTCAGGACAGAACGTTGTATCTCAGTTTTTCATTTTTGAAACTGTTCTTTACATTGTGTCACAATCTCATGATAAATGGACCGATAGAAATGGTCCAAAATTACTTGGAATAAATAATTCCTCCACAACTTCCACTAAAAACATGAATTTTTTCCCCCATCTCATGTAAATTTACCTTTTTTGGTGAGGTTTTGGTCTGACAGCGACACTATGCATACTGGGGTTTATGGGCTACTGTGTGCTGAGAGAAAACAAATACGAATTTAACGTATTTAAATAGAAAAATTTTCCTGTTTTTGGTGGCCTGTCCCTGGCTGGAGCTGTCCTCGGAAATGCAAATTAAAAACACACCGGAAAGTCCTAAGAAAGACCTGCAGCAGACAGGCAGATGTCTTGCATTGTGCTTATTTTGGCCAACAGAGGGGGCTGCTACTGCTATCTACTGACCACTTACACTACTTGCTTGTCTACCACCACAAATGTCTCTTAAAGTCATGAGGTAACGCTGGGGTTTAAAAGCAGGGGTGGGACTTGAATCTTACTACCAGCTAATAGGTATAGATCTGATTTGTATAGACATACAGTCTACTTGAATGTAGCAACCATGCAATCTACAAATAGCACATCATTTTTTTAACCTGCGTTACTTTTTGAGCCATCCATATATTATATATGGCTGTGTTGGTAGCAGCCGTCTCTGTCTCTCCAGAACTGGAGCCACCCAGACGTGTGTTGAGGGTCTGGCTTTTGGGCTTTAGCCACAGGTCACAGTTCACCATAGCTTCACTCATTATACTAAGCTACTGTATGATTTCCTCACACAATTTACAAAGTTACTTAGTTCCCAGTTTTATCAGGCAGCCTTCACCATGGTTTATTACAGTACAGCAGTTATCATAGTCAAAATACATGAAACTGGAACTTTCCACTCTTTATTACTTAGATAAAAACATTGGATATTTTAACGATATATTGACCGCCGAACTGGAAATGTCGCCAGTTTTCATTTCAGAAATCTGGTAACCTTAATTTAATCACTTTGTTATGTTTGTCTTTACTGGTATGATCTTTAATTAAAGCATTCACTCACCGTCTGTCTGATTAAACCGCTTCATTAAAATATCCAGATTAGCCCTAAAGATCTCTTGAGCTCCTTCCTGCTTCTGTGTCTCTCTGTTCCAGTACTTTTCACCCTCATTCTTCTTCATCCACTCCGTCTTTGGAATCATCTTACTGATGTTGCTGTCATAGTACACAAACTGCTCCCCGTCCACCAGACCAACCACAGTGTATTCTGGGAAATGTATTCTTGACGTGGTTGCAGTGATGATGTATTGGAGGGAGTGAGACGCTGTTGAGACAAAAAAGTCAATACTGTAAATGGTTACCACTGTTAGGGCATGGAACATTATCATATAAAGGCATGGGCAATGATGATCAGATGATCTGTCTAAGTTTACTTTGAAAATCTGGCTTGGAGGAAGGAAAAGAACCATAGGAGGGAATTACGGGGAGGGACAAGGGAGTCCTGACCCCCCTTCCTAGGAAAAACAGAGAGTTATCCTCCCTCAATATATAATTGTAAACATAACTGTGTAATATTAAATAACATAATAATATGCATTGAAAGAACTTGTGTTAATTACAGACGCAAAACACTCACTCACTCATCATCTAATCATAAATAGTGCCACCTACAGGCCATTCTTGGTACTGCCGGTTGAACATGCAAAAACCTGTCTGTAGGTTATTGGACTGATGAGGAACACTGCTATAATTATTATTATTACTACTATTAATACAATTACTTAAAATATCTGAACATGTTGGTACAACCCTGAAGTTATTTAACTATCAATTATCCAATGTATATATAAGTGTTTCTTCTATATATATTTCATACAGCAGTTCTTTTGGCAGCACCTTTGGTGACCCCCCAGAAACTTTTTCATTGCTCTTGAGACATTTTTTATTTATTGTCCCCCTCAACAGTGAAATTAAATATCCGCCCAGGCCTTGAACTCAATATATCTTTGCCAGAGACACCCGAGAGATTCATCATTTGACATTCTGTTGTCTGATAAAGCTAAAACTGAACATGACATTTGCACAGAAACGTCCTGTAGAACAAAAATCTGCAAAATCAACGAGACTTGTAATATCATTCATCTTCCAGCAGGATATTGAGCCTCATTTACCAACCATTCTTAACAAGAAATTTCTTCTTAAAACCTACTGACAGAGTCTTTACTAAGATTCTGACATTCACCACTGTTTTCTTATTTGGGATGTGTAGAACAGAATCTACACATTCAAGAGCACAGAATTAAACGGTTCTGCGCTTTAAGAACACGTCATGAAACCTGGATCTGACCCCGTTCATCATTTTCTGAGATTCTCTGGGGGACACAAAGTTTTACAATTTCCAGGTATTACTGATTTCACTTATTTGGCCTTTTTTCAATCCGTTGTAAATGAACTTAAATAAATAACTTTGAAATTAAGTCAAATATATTTCGTAATGCATGAGATGAGTTAAATCAACGGTGCCAGTTTTAGCTAACATTAGATATGATATGATGTTTTATATTGGTAATGAAATACCAACACTGGGAATGAACCGGTGGGCTATCAGCTGGCTACCATTAGTTAGCTAACGCTAATGTTAGGTAAGGCAAACATTAGCTTTGTTGGTTAGTTAGCTAAAATTACTTGAGGCAAAAGTTGGAAACTGGATATTCATCCATAAACACGAGGCAGACAGACGAGACTTACAACTAACGGCTGGGTTAATAAATGGTGTGGTCTATTTTATACTAACATACAGTAGAAGACTTTCAAAGACCCTCTCACACCTGAAGACAATATCAGAGCTTTTAGTCACAGACTATGATTTTACAAAGACTGGGGATCCTGCAGTGTCACTATTGGAAAGACTGCAACTAGATTTTTTATATTATGAGTATATTTCCCATCATGCACCTGGAAATTAACAAGCAGAGAAACCCTTTTTCCTTCTTCACTCTAAAGTAGCACAAATGGAAAGACGCGTTGGCTGAGCATGTAAAGATCTGAGACTCAGCCCAGTTCACTGTAGAGCTGTTTACTCTGGCAGATCATCACCCAAAATCTTTTATTTAACCTGTAAAATGTGCAGCTACTTTTTAATTTGATATAAAGATTCACACATCAACACAACCTGCAGCGATTCAGCATCGTTTACTGGACATTATGAACTAAACCATAAAAAACCAACAAACAAAATAAGAAATCACCGTAACAGACAAAAAAAAAAAACGATGCTTCTTCAGTAGTGCTGTTATTAAAGTCCTCTGCACGCGTCCCTACATCACTGCTACACTCAGAGAGCCTGGAACAGTAAAGCAGCCAGCTTCAACTTTTAGATTAGAATGATTACTGAATTAAAGTGGAGCAGATTTGCCTTTTTTAGAGATTTCAGGCTCTCGCGCATCTCTCCCTCCCTCTCTCGCGCGCGCATGCGCTCGCCCTCGCCCGGCTCTGGCCCGTCAGTATTTGCATGAGCCGATTAAAAACTTACGATAATATTAAACACGGCTGCTTTTGTCGCAGCGTCGCGACGAGAAAAAGACTGACCTAAGACGGCCGTCCTGACCACCTCACACTAACCGATCGAGGTGGAGCGAGCGCGACTCAACTCCAGCAAGACTCTCATGATTTTATTAAAATACAGCCGTTATAATATTTACAGCTGCAGGTAAGAGGAGATGTAAGTGTGTTTAGCCCCCTGTTGTTTGTGCCACTTCGGGAGGCCCATGTCTGTATTCAGACTGTATTTGGGGCGCCGTCTTCTGACCCGTCAGTTCATCTGTAAACACAAACTGCGCGGCGCGCGGCTCCCTCAACGGCCCATCAGCTTCACTACAGTGACGCGCTTCTTCAGAACAGGCGGTCATTCAGCTTCATTAAGTCTGGTACAGCATAAAACCCAGCAAAATCATTTTAAATGTAGTTTTTATTTGTTTCCTTCTTCATCGTGTATGTTGTCTTAGTTTATTCTTCAAAATAAGGACTTCTCGCGTTTAAACTCTCTCCGCAGTAGCTGACGGTGGGGCTGCTTCACTTCTGTAATTCATATGAACACTATTTACTCCGAATACATTCGACATTACCGACTCAAACACAATAGTTTTACCAGTATTAACTACATTTTAGTTCAGTCTGTTCTGTTTGCATTTATCGCTGCTTCTACTGGATCCGTTTACCACCCCCGGAAACTCTGATGTTTACAAACACGGCTCCGGCGTGCAGGTCGGTCTGCGCTGCATTAGGAGCTCCGCTGAACTTACCCGCTTCGACGCTGAGCAGCAGTAAAAGAAGCCATTTCTTCACATCATGTCTGCAATCCATTAACCAGCGCTGAGGTTTGTCATTTTGTATATGTAATATTTCTTTATAGAAATATTACATATACAAAATAACATTAGAAATCGTACACATCTTCTACCTTCACTTCTTCTGTGAGGAAATGGGTTGCCAGAAAATGCCCCTCTGATGTATTGACTGTACTATAAATGTACTGACTGTATTATATATATTCTCCAAAATACATATTCATATATACAGAAAAGTGGGACATTTGCTGTAACACTTCGATATGGATTCACAGGTTCTATAGGAGCTGGTTAGTGAGAATAAGACAGTGGAGAGCTGCTTCACTAAACTGGTGAAAATGAAGAGCCTGATGGTTTAATTACCGTGTAAATGTGCAGAGCACTACTTTATTAACATCTCTACTTCTATACACTCTAACAGACATGTTACTTAGTTCTTTCTACAGTTTTAATGCATTTTCACATTTTCGTCTGTAAAGTGTATATTAGCGTAAACATGGCAACCCGTCCAGCACAGCCCTGAGACATGAAAAAAATTGAGCAGCCAATGAAAAAAGCTAAGCGTGTGGCGTCAGCAGTTGCCAAGATGAAGTTGATGTTCGAGGTTTTCAGGGCCTGCAGTCTCACTCTGCAGGAGGGTCGATTATAACTTGGTAATAAACAGTGCATCCTTGGACAAAGAATGAATAACACAGCGTTTAATGTTTAAGTCTTTATTATTAGTATAAATAGTACATTTCTTGTTGTAGACGTTAATTACAGTAATACTTTAAAGTAATCAACTTAGAATTAGAAATATTAGCAAACTAACGCCAGAGAGAGCTAAAAGTAAAGACCAACATCAATACATTAATAATAATAATAAAAATACATAACTAAAATCAATCAATAAATAATGTAGGTGCATTTGTGGTAGTTCTGTAAAGGGAGATGAATGACCGGTACTATTTTCCATTCATACTATCCCTTTACAATAATCCAATTCGATCAAAAACAGGTAGTTTCATAACAGAAAAGACTACATTATTGCACCAACATTAATTATTAGTTTTCTTTTCTCCATTCACATTCAACTCTCATTAACTTAAAGGGCAACCCCACCGATGTTTCAAAATTCCCCCCTAATTCAATGGTCAAGATATAAGCAGAGTCTGGTTCCTATCACCACCACTGTGAACAGTTCCGACTCAGTAAGTTTCTCTAGAACAGAGCATTTCACACCAAACCACTCTCAACGACTTTATTTACAACTTACTTGTAGAAATTTTGAAAAATCGGTGGAGTTCCCCTTTAAATACAGCTACAATCACGTGTAAAATGTTGTTTTAATAACTTTAATCCGACGTTTTGAAGCATGTAGGTCCCCTCAGTGACATTATTACCTTTTACCTCATCGTAAATGGCCACACACACTAGTTCACTATATCTAATCAGGCTAGGTGTGTAAAGACCCTCGTGGTCTCTCGCTAACCGTGGACGGTTTGTGCGTTTCGCCGTTCCGCAAACACATTTAACTACACACAGAGCGCTTTTCTAACTACGGCTATACCCTGGATTCACCTGGATCCCGAAGCAGTATTCGTTTTCAGTGTTTTTACCTGTAGAGAGAGACAGATAAAGGACAGACTTTCTCCACTCTGCGGTCTCCTCTGCGTCTTCAAGGTCACTGGGCAGAACACGGCCACACTTTCAGACCCGCCCTATCAGCTCCGTACAAGCGCGCCTCTAGTGGTTCTCTAGCGCCTCTGGTGGTTCACTTCAGAATTGCAGCCACACTTTCCTGCCCTTAGAGAGAATTTTAACGTGATGTTTTTGTTTATTTGTACACAGTATAGTAACTCTGCCTTCATGTGCAAGTGAGGCGCTAGTTTTGTACGAGGAAGAACTCGTTAACCTACATTGAGGGTTCAGGTGTTTTTTGTGACAGATAAACAGAACGCTGAGGTTTGAAATAGGTGTTTATTAGCTTGCTGGTATCAGTTTTGGCCTGTTTTACTCGTGTTTTGAACTCATACACTCTCGTAGGCATCTGTACGTATGTCTCCCACGCTCTCCATGTTACACGTGACATCATATCCGGGGCTGAGAGCGGTAGCCAGAGAACTTGTAGAGATGTCCTCCGTAATGTCTTCGGGTTTCTCAGACGCTAGAGGGCGCTCCCGAGCGAGTCCAAAATGAATGGGCTAAGATGGAGCATTTGAGCAAAATCATAGTTTATAAATGCTTCAACATTTTTAATGTAAAATAGTACAGTCATTTCCTGAACGCTGAACAGCATAAAACATTTTAACACCACTTTCGTATTTTTAAGAGCTTTTAAACTCGAGTTATAGGAGTTTAAAACGTACGTTCATGATGTCAGTGTGCTGTAGAAAAAAGGAAACATTCAGGTGAGTTTTCTTTGTTTTTTAGTGAAATACATTCTTCTACTTTCTAAAATTAAAGAAACGTTCTAGGTAAGTGATTAGACACTATTTTAACTTTTCGTTTTTAGCCGTTTTGCTCCATTCACCCCCATTCATTAAGCGCTCACTCGCAGGCGCCCTCTGCTGTTTTGCAGTCATGTTTTTGAAATAACGGGGGAAATAGGAAGTGGCCAGGCTCCTCATAAACCGGCTCTGGTAATTCTCCTCTCTACAAGTTCTCTGCTAGACGCTTCTCCTGTCTGAGGCTGAAACAATCATAAGTAATCGATCATCTTTTCAATCTGGTATATAAAACAATACCCAAAATAAACAGAGTAGCATTTACACATAGAAAAGCGATGTTTTGATAAAAGCTGAAAATCCCAAAATCTTCCTTTACAGCAACTGCAATAGTTATGTTTTTTGTTGTTATATTGTTACATTTGCTTGTTTAACTGGTTACACTTTCTTATTACAGGAGGCTTTTATACTTAAACTCCACACTTCAAACAGAGGTTTAGATTTAAGACACCAGTAAAACAGATAAATGAAATATTAAAATTTTTAATTCTGTGTCATAATTAGTAAACCCAAATACATTTTCTAAATACACCGATGAGCCTAATATGCTGCTGGTCCTCCTAGTGCCACCAAAACAGCTTCAACCCGCCTAGGCATGGACTTATAAGGGTCCCCGTGGTTTCTGGCTCCAAGACATCAGCTGACCAGAACCGTCTGCTCCTCCAGTTGATTTGCTCTAACTGTGTGTAAGTTTATAAGCTCATTCTGAATATGATAAACTGATCTGCTTTAGCTTTACAGTAAATGGATATTGTTCTGAAGGGGGGCAAAATTATTCAAATCATTACTCAGAAAACAGTCAGAGAGAAGGTACATGGGGCTACGTTTATAGTTTCAAGCTATGGAGATAGAGCTGGGCGATATGGCCAAAAATGTTATCACGATAAACAAAATTCATATCGTTCGATATCGATACATATCACGAAAAATGTCAAATCATTATTTCTTTCAAGTTTGAAGGCTGATTTTTGCTCCTGGGTGGTTAATTGCTGTTTTAAACTATCCTTTATGGTCGGAACACGACAAACACTCGCCAAACAGTGGAACATTTCACAGATCTGTCATGGGAGAGTGGGAGAAAGTGTCTGGTGAGCTGTTTTTACCAGCTGGAAAAGCACGGCTATTTTTGTAGTAGTCATAATTTAAGATAGAAAACAGATTATTTTTAGCTGGTGCCGAGCGCTCGGCTACCCCGCTACAAATGACATCACAGTATTCAGACACCAGCTAGCGACGACTGGATTTCTCTATACTATCGTAGTAGTTTAAATGGTGAACCGCAAAATATGAACACCAGACAAGCAGAGTTCTCTTTTTAGGTACGTTTAAACAGAAAGCGGTGCTTTTTTTGTTGTGTTTGATCTACAGTATCATCAATTCACCCCGCTGTGTGAGTGACGTAGTGCTGCTTCAAGTTAGCCAGCTGCTAAAAACAGCTAGCCTGGAAAGCTAGCGCTCTCCCGCTCTCCAATGCCTCACAGCTTCCTCAGTTTACTTTCGTTTAAATCAGGGCTGTAATTTACATGAACCCACTTCTTCTTTCACTTTCGTTGCTTGGGAATGCACTCATACTTAAATATGACTGACTGAGCGCTGTAACAGCGCTGTAGTTGTGAGGATTGTGATTTAACGCTGCTAAAGCTGGTTAGGATGTACAGAAAGAGGTGAGTTCACTGTAGGACAGTACAGTTACACCACTGACCTCGTCACTCACACTCGGTCACAGGAGAACAGATCGCCGGTCGCTCCACTCAAACAGGGAGTGTATAACTCTGCGTTTCAGCCGTTGCTAAAGACTCATCTCACTCGTGGCCCCCTCCCTCTCTAATCATGTAGAAAAACTCGGAAGTGCGCCCTCTCCTGGCGACAGCAGAGTAGTGTCGCTTTCCTTGCAGTAGAAAACGCCACCAAGGCTTTCGCTGAACGTGGAAGTGTGAGAGTGGTGTATTATATCGAACATTTATCGAACCTGTCTTATCGCTCTATCGAGGAAAAGTTAAATCGCGATATTTATCGTTATCGTTTTATCGCTCAGCCCTATATGGAGATCATAAAAAAGAGCTGGGTAAATTCTCACAGCTAAAAGAAAAAAGCTGACCAATATGTACATTTGGACAGAAACAAAAGCATCTGACCAAAATCCCAATGGTGATGGAAAAAAAAGGAGGCTAAACATCAGGATTCAAATACTTTTAATCACAAACATACAATATTATAACGAAAATTTACTTAGAAAGAACTATTACAAATAACATCAACAAAGAGCAGAGGTGGATCACAGACCAGGACAATGAGGCCGGTGCCCAGGGGCCTCTGACTGCCTCAGATCACAAACATCCACAGAAGTAAATATTAGACAAACAAGCCGTCAAATAAACAAAGACATGTTATCTGTTCTCTGCATCATTTTGGTGTTGCTATTAAATAAGTGTTATTTTCTCCAGTATGTTAAATTCAGTAAATAAACAGTAATTGTGAAATAAAATGTGCAGAGCAGTGTTCTCTGCAGAGTAAACCAAAAAAAAACAAGTTAAGTAACAATAACTGAGAATAATAAAAAGAAATATGTGAGTAAAATACAAGAGAGACAGTGGAGAAAGAAAGAGAATTAGACAGCATCACAGGTCCCTCCCCACCAATTCAGCAGTGGATACAACATTTAAACCATTACTAACAGCTGACGGGGCGTCACTAGGCCTCAAAAACACAAGAAGTTGAAAGTGCAACGTGCTGAGTTTTAAAGAGCTGTTTATTTCTTTTTCTCTCTATGTATCTTTTTATCTCTTTCTCTCATGCACACTATAGAGACCTTTACAGTTTTTTTAAATAGTTGGCTCGTCAGCTAGCTGTATAGCCTAGCCACTTTTCTGTACCTCATATAAGAATGTAAATGCGTTCAGAAACATTTTGCATTCAAACATGTTTCAAAACAGTTACACCAGTAGAGGCCTTAGATTAGAGTAGGAGAGGGAGAGACTCAGGGCTGAAGGACCAGGTCCTAATCTGGTATCTAATATTACATCTGTGCCTGCAAACTATTAAAAGACAGATCTACTGTGTGCCAACTTAACTGAATAGACTCAATTTTCCACATTCTACTACTCAAAACATTATTATCAACAGACATTTTGGTTCTCCTGAGGAACCAAGTAGCTAAACCTCTCCTAGTAAAGGCTTACCCCGCCCCTTCCATAAATCTTACAGACAAAACAAACTTGCACCCAGACACAACACCAGCGGTTCAGTCCACAAAGGTGATGTGCTGCTTTTCCAAGGATCAAGCACTCTACAAACACAGTGAATTTCACAGTGATTTTCACAGATTTTCAAGGCCAATTTGCCCCCCTTGAATCAATGCAGAGTCTACATTGTAGCCTACAGAGGTGGCCTACACCGTTGTGACTGTTTACACCTGTACATTGGTGTTTCTGTATAACTCTGCAATTACACCGATTCTATATTTTATGACATCTCTATCACTTCAACACCACACATTCAAAATTGTGCTCTCAGACATGAGTATTTATATCCTAAATGAGTGTTTTTAGGCATCAGTTCACTGGAACTGATGTACTGCAGTGGAAGCCTTGCTACATTCACATTAGCTTAGCCTAGCAGGCTACAGCTTAAAACACTACAGAACAGGTTTGGTCTTATCATTTATACTTGTGATAGCAGAGCACCTGTTACTCTCAACCGAATTTAAACACAGAGGCAAAGAAAAAGAAACCAGACATGCATAGGAGGAAATGCTACCAAGCAGACCAATCAGTTGGGGGAGGTGCACATCAGGCTGCATTGTATGCAGAGTATGCGTAGGGCTTACAGTATCACAGAAGCACAATTTTCCTTCAATCTGAAAATACAGATTAGACAGATGTGCAGTACTACAGAGTTAACATCATCATGATTTTCTATGACCATGAGGACGATTAACTAAGTGACCACATACTGAATGTTGATATGTGACACTGAAATAGCTTCTATATCACCGGATAAGAAAGATTCACTCTGTCAAAGCAGCATGAAGACTCCTGGAGTTGCCTCCAGAGGCTGTAAAACATGAAAAACATTTAATCACTCAAATATTCATGGCAGAACCCAATAATGTTAGAGCACTCAGAAGTGTGATAATATTTAGCACTTAACTATTTCAAAAATGTAATAAAACCCAATAAGATAAAACTTTCTCAGCAATGTAGGATATATCTTTACTGATAAAGTAACAATATTTGTACTGATATTGTAATACTGTATTACATTGTTGGGATTTTAATGCACTTTTAGATTGATCATATATAACACTTCATTACATTGTCAAAAATTTATTATATTTACTTTTTTAATGGATAGATATAATATAATCGGGGAAAAACTGGAAAAAAGTGAAATAAATCCAGTATTGTAACAGAGTATTGCATTATCTCTAAAGAAAATATTACATCATTCTATTACATTATTGGGCACATTAAATTATCATTATATTATCACCTTATTGGGTTTATCTTTTGATCAATACAAAGTCTATACTTTAGGCTCACTTATGTGTTTCAAAGTTTTCTGAAACCTGTTTGAAGCCTGAAAAACAGATGATGGATATGAAATTACTGTACATATAGCTTGTTACAGTTCAGTGTATGCCTTACTTATTGAGCTTGGGCTTTCACTGGACATCGCGGAAATATAAATCACTGTAATGCACTGTAACTGCATACCATTGTCACTGTGTAATGTTCAGTGTACAGTCTACACCATTGTCTCATCATTCAAATGAATCAAAAACAGTATGCCACATCATGTACAGTGTTTAAAGTGAGATTTACATGCAATCGCTGATCTACATTTTCCCTAGAGACGTAAAAAATCTGATTTGTTCAATTTAGCATTTCTGTCATAAAAATGAAAAATGGAACTGAATACAGATTTTGAGAAAAATGCAAACAATTGCTAATGTGATTTCAAAGTGAATTACTTCAGATGAAATATGACTTTTCCCAAAGTAACTGGGCTTTCAGAGAAGGCCCTGAAGGCCCTGATGGTTCTCCACAGTTGTATACCCATTCCCATTAATGATGTGACAATAATTAACATCAATTAAAAATGTGGTACAGTTATAGGCCTGAAGTTAAACTTTCAGTAAAGCTTTAAAATGTGTTAATTTAGATATTTAACTTTACATTTGCCTCCTTTCTCCCTTACCAGACTTACCAGACCAAATGAGAACTCCAAAATGGACAATGCAGATAAGGAGAAGACCAGCCACAACAACAATGATGACCAGGACTAACACACCATCTGAAACACCACAGTGTTACGTCAAGGTAGACTCCATTACCTGCATCATAAATAAAATGAATAAAAGTAACTCAAAGATGACATTTTTACCTAATGGATTTCTGTCTCCTGGCAGGGCTTGAATAGACACCTGCAGCACCATCTCCTTCTCCAGGCTGCTGTGCTGAATGATGCAGGTGTAGTCGTGTTTGTTCAGCTCCTCAGGTGAGACAGTCAGAACGCTCCTCTTCTGGAAGGTTCCGTCCTGGTTGGGTAGCGTCTCTCTGAGCTCCACGTCCTCATGCAGATCCTCTCCATTCTTCTGCCAGGAGATCATCACTGCTTTGGGGAAGAAACCTGTAGCATGACACACCACTGGAGAAGAAGAGTCCTTCTGGAACAGAGACGCCTCAGGAGAGACTGGAGAGGGGATGGTTACATTACACTGTGCCACACTGAATTTATTTAATGAACAATTCATAATATTCACATCTTAGTTTTAAAATACTGTTATACTGTCCAGTAACCAGTGTTATGGAAATACACCTTATTTGGTGTAAACTTTGATGTCATACATTATAGTATGTTCTTATAGTGCACATTTATAAATTTGGAAATCAGCTCACCCTTCCACAAACCACTCTACTTCATGTAGCTAGTATGAGATGGCACGTGTTTTCAAATGCTCAGTTTTGGGGTGCGAGAGGGAGTTTGGTAGTTGTTGAAAATAACTGTGCTGCAGTTAAAATACCAGTACTGTACCTTTCCTCTCCAGAGTGGATCTGCCGTATTCCACATACTTCTTTAAATAGTCGACACAGTCGTTGTCCAGATAGTGCTTCCTGAAATTTGGATCTCCAGCAGCCTCCCACTTGAGTTTGGTACTAACAGCTTTCTGATGAGCTGCAGTCCAGCTTAACGTGCTCCTATCCAGAATGAGGAAGTCTTCTCCATCATAACCAAACTGGAAGTATCCTCTGACAGAGCCATTTTCACCCAGCTCACAGCCAGACCTCCTCTGTAACGTGTGAACCCCTTCAGAGACACACAAGAACATGAATTTTATTATATGGACGCCACATAGTACTGTCTGGTGGGAGTCCTTATACCCAATAATATATGACAGTGTGTTACAGTAGTAAGCAATATCAATAAGTAACACACTATATGGACAAAAGTATTGGGACACCCCTTCTAATGATTGAGTTCAGGCATCCCACTACTAATAGGTGAATAAAATTAATCTCATAGCCATGCAGTCTCCACAGACAGTAGAATGGCAGTAGAATGGGTCGTACTGAAGAGCTCAGTGACTTTAAACATGACACTAAAGATGCCACCTCAGCCACAAGTTAGTTTGTGAAATTTCTGTCCTGCTAGATCTGCCCCTGTCAACTGTAAGTGCTATTATTGTGCAATGGAAGCATCTAGGAACAACAACACCTCAGCCATGAAGCATTAGACCACACAAACTCACAGAGTGGGCCACCAAGTGCTGAAGCGCACAGTGACTGTCCTCTGTTGAATTATCACTAAAGAGTTCCAAATTGCCTCTGGAAGCAACATCAGCAAAAAAACTGAGCTTTAGGAGCTTCACAAAATGGGCTTCCATGGCCGAACAGCTGCACACAAGCCTAATATCAAAATGCACAGTGCCAAGCGTCGGATTCAGTGGTGTAAAACACGCTGCTACTGGACTCTGGAGCAGTGGAAACAGTGGAGTGACGAATCACGCTTCTCTATCTGACAGTCTGATGGATGAGTCTGAGTTTGGCGAATGCCAGGAGGACGTTACCTGCCTGACTGCACTGTGCCAACTGTTTGGTGGAGGAGGGATGATGATATGGGGTTGTTTTTCTGGGTTTGGTCTAGAACCCTTAGTTCCAGTGAAGGGATCTTAATGCTTCAGCAGAAGAAAGCTTCCCAGAAGAGTGGAAGCTGTTATAGCTGCAAAGGGGGACCAACTCCATATTAATGGCTATGGGTTTAGAATGGGGTGACGTAAAAGCTCCTGTAGGTGTGATGTGTAGGTGTCCCAATACTTTTGTCTGTATAGCGTACATACTGGGGTTTACAGACTACTGTGGGTTGTGGGTAAGTCTGAGACATAACTAAAATTTAAATAGTTAAAATAATTGTAATGCAAGGAAGCAATTCAAAACACTTTTCACAGATGGGTTTTAGTCACTTTGTTAAGCTTGTCTTTACTGGTGTGATCTTTAATTGAAGTTTCACTCACGGTCTGTCTGATTAAATCTCTTCATTAAAATATCCAGATTAGCCTTGAAGATCTCTTGAGCTCCGTCCTGCTTCTGTGTCTCTCTGTTCCAGTACTTTTCACCCTCATTCTTCTTCATCCACCCCGTCTTTGGAACCATCTTCTTGATGTTGCTGTCATAGTACACAAACTGCTCTCCATCCACCAGACCAACCACAGTGTATTCTGGGAAATCTCTTCCTGGAGTGGTTGCAGTGATGATGTATTGGAGGGAGTGGGACGCTGTTCAGGCAAAAACCGTCACCGTTGTAAATGGTAACCACTGTTAGGGCATGGAATATTACTGTGTACCGATATGGGCAACGATGATGAGATGTTTAATTTGTCTTTTACTCAACACAAAGCAAAGTGGAAAGAATCTTTCCATGGCAGCTTGAAAGAGTTTACAGCCCACCATTAATGAGACTCAAGACAACAACATGCACATTTTGCAAATCTGGCATGAAAAAGGGAAACAAAAGTATCTAGCCTAGAGACATGTGAGAGGCTCAGGTTTTGTCAGTGACATTCTGTGGTTTGATGAGGCCAAAACAGAACATTTGACATTTGTACGGACACATGCTAGAGCACAACAATCTGCAAACCCAGAGGGACTTGGAATTCAATTCACTTTCCAACAGGACAATGAAACATGCATCAGAAGCTCCACTGGAGCAGCTTAAAACAGAAAGCTAAAGGTGCTGGAGTGACTTTACCAAAATCCAATGTCTGCTTTAATCCCTGGATATGCAAGGGTCATGCTGGGTATGGGCCCCTGTTTTGGGGCCTGTGAATCACCTCAGCTTCTTGAGATATTAATGCATAATAGCATCTGTTTCTTCAATGCAATGCTGGTTGGCCTGCATACCAGCACCCAAAACACAGCATGCTGTCATAACCTAATATGTCTACATATGTTTGTCTTTTTTTTTCATTTTTGACATCATTAGAATTTTTCAGCTGCTTTTTACATTGTGTTCAAATTTCACTGTAAATGGACCAGTAGAGACAGTCCAAAATTACTTATGTAAAAATAAAATAAAATAGCAAAGAACTTTTGCTTTTCATCATCTACAGTACATAATAACATTAAAAGATTCAGAGAATCTGGAGAAATCTCTGTATGTAAGGGACAAGAACAAAAACCAGTAATAGCTGGCTGTGATCTTTGGGCCCTCAGGTGGCACTGCATAAGAAACAGATATGATTCTGTAGTGGAAATCACTGCATGGGCTCAGAAACTCTTCTGAAAACCACTGTCTGTGAAAACAGTTCATCACTGCATCCACAAATGCAAGTTAAAACTCTAAAACACAAAGAATAAGCCAAATATAAACAGGATACAGAAATGCTGCCACCTTCTCTGGTCCTGAGCTCATTTAAAATGGACTGAGGGGAAGTGGAAAAGTGTCCTGTGATCTGACAAATCAAACTTTGAAATCCTTTTTGGAAATCATGGACACTATGTCCATGTCCCAACTTTTTTGGAAATGGGGTTGTAATTATTACTATGTTATCTGTTTGCTTTTAAATATTACATTATTATATTATAATATTACATTACATAAGGTATAAATACATACTTTTCACCTGGAAAAAACTTATTTAAGGTTCACAGCTGGACCTTAAAACCACTGTTGAACCTTTGAGGGAACTTTTACATTGTTTAAACCATGATGAATGAAAAATGCACCTGCACAGAACCTTTATTTCTAACAGTGTATGTTTGAAACCCATATATTGCCATATATCTGATTTCTGTATGGGAAACCAACATATGTTGTGTTTTGTATGCTGCTATGCTGGTCAGCAGCAATGGAAGTTAGTATGCTGGTCACCACCAAAACCAGTTAAGCGGTTATGCTTATATGATGATTTCCACTATAAACCAGCCATGTACAGCGACAAGTCCTGAACTGCTCCAGCCAGGCCTGGCGCCGAAACGAATGAAAACACATGTTTTTAACTGATTATCCATTCCAGAAAACATGAACTTGTTCTTTGAAATTCTATAGCAACAGAATTCTGGACAATAGCCCCCCATTATTGGCTACTGGTTTGAAAGGTCAGTGCAGCGGAGTCAAAGTCCAATGTATTTTAATTTCCTGCCTAATATTAAAAATAATGGCTTCCACTGTTTCCTCATAACAGTGAGAATGCCACAAAAATAGCATTTTTACAGATTTTTTATCCAAACTTGTGAGTTAGTTTATATTCCTGTACCAGCATACAGATCAGTAAGTTCACTAAACTTACCTGCTTCGACGCTGAACAGCAGTAAAAGGAGCCATTTCTTCACACCATGTATGTAATCCATTACCCATTTCTATACAGAAATATTACATATACAGAATGACTTTAGAAAAAATCCATATCTTACTTTCACTTCTTCTGTGAGGAAATGGGTTGCCAGATAATCCCCCCTGTGATGTATGGACTGTACTATAAATGTACTGACTGTATTATATATATTCTCCAAAAATACATATTCATATATACAGAAAAGTGGGAGATTTGCTGTAAGACTTTGATATAAATGTACAGGTTTTTAAAACACTTTTCACTTTTCATGCTTTTTCCCATTTTTCCTCAGTAAGGTGTATATTCTCCTCAACATGGCAACCCACCCAGCACAACCTTGTGACTTTTGTAGCCAGGGAAAAGAAGCTAAATGTGTGGGATCAGCAGTTACTAAGCTGATGCTTTTGGTTTTCACAGAAGTTCCAAGTTTTCAATTCCTTCTTATTACATGTCACTACCGAAACAGTCACTACTGAAACAAGTTTAGTGTTATGATTGTTTTGGTAGTGATAAAATGGAATGATCAATCATTTGTTTTTATAAAATGAACTTAATGAAGGTATAGAGTCACTCAAAGGGAGAATGTTTACTTACACTTTGCCAGTATAATAACTAGATTACATTAAAAATATTCTGTCATAAATTGTAAACCAAAATGCAACAATTTCTAAATACACTGATGTGCTAAAACATTATATCCGCCTGCCAAATATGCTGTCTGTTCTCTGTGCACCACCAAAACCTCTGAAAAAAGACCCCTGAAGGTGCCCTGTGGTACCCAGGGGCCAATTGCTAACCAAGACATTAGCAACAGAATCAAACCAAAGAATCAACTTACAGCGGTACAAATTTAGGACAACCACGCTGTAAAGAATGTACTGTAAAGATACTGTAAATCACTGACTACTAGTTACTTTCACAGTAATTTACTGAATCATATTAACAGTAAATAAGAGTAAAATAACAGTTGTGTACAGTGACTGCACAGCCACCTGCGTCACAACATTGCTGTGACGGAGCTATAATTAAAATATGGCATATTTTCAACAACTGTAAATGTAATGCAATTTAGTAGCCATTTATTTATTCTAAATCTTTACATTTTCTTTCACACCTATGAAAATATTTTTTTAAATAAGGAAAGTAAAAGATAACTAATATCAATACAATGTCAATGAACATATTCACAGTCTATATGCACAATAGTATGCATTCTTTAATGCAAATACACAATTTACAGTTTAAGCTTGTGTTTAATCTGCACAAACTTGACCAAAAACCTACATCTGGCAATATTAATAAACAATAGTTGTTTTTTCAACATGTCAATGTTCAAAGCTTTAAACAAAATCAATTGAAAAACAAATTGGCAGAATAAAAACAATGTTTCTTTTTTATTTTTACATATTTTCACCTTTTTATGATGATGTGCGCTTATACAACATAAACATCACAGTAATTTGCAGTGTTATTACAGAAAACTTAATCTTAAGATTAATTAATTTTACAATAAAATGGTGAATTTGACAGAATGTTTAAACAAAACCATGTTGAACTTAAGTGTATTATTTAGAACTAGAAGCAACTGCTTTTAAAATTTGCTTTAGTACATTTTAAATGCAATATAATTCAAACTAGCAATTAAATATCAGCTCATCCAACAGTATACACTTAAAATGTGTTCACTCAAGAGCTCAAAAGCACAACGAAATGCATTTAATATATATTTAACCACAATATATTTAATGACAATTTAAATACACTTACATTGCCATAAGTAACACACTGAATATGTACTAAAGCATAAAGTATGTATTTTCATATTTAATACACTTTTGAAAAGAGCACTCAAATGCATTTTTCTTTAACAAGGGGGTGCAGAAGATACTGATACTGACTTTTCTAACAGATCTACATTAGTTTGGCTCTTGTTTAAGCCACACCCACCTATAAACTATAGCAGAATGTTTTTTGAAGTTAGTTTCCTCCTGGTAACAGTACAGAGATGGTTGTGGCTCTGCTGCTCTGTGTTGTGGGTGAGTGTTAGTATTTCATTTAACTCCCTGTTAAACAGATGAAGAAGTAATTACACAGTCATCTGGCTGAGTTGTATAGCTGTGTAGTTGTACAGCTGTGTAGTTGTATAACTGTGCAGTTGTATAGCTGTGTAGTTGTACAGTTGTGTAGTTGACAAGGCCTGAAAACTCCTCAGAGCTGTAAAGGCTCTATGAGTTATTCATCTTATTCAGTGGAATATTTAACAGATTCGTCAGCTGAAACAGTGTTTAACTGTGTTTGTGTGTGTTGTGTGTTGCAGGTCTACTCTCAGTGTCTGGGGGCTCTCAGACCACCTTAATCTTGGAGGCAGAACCTGGAGATGATGTCACTCTTCAGTGCCCCTGCAACCTCACATATACATCATCCCCTATACACTGGTTCAGGCAGATAAATACTTCTGCGCCAGAATTCCTTATTCTCATATATTACCCAGCACAGATTGAAACATATTCCGAGGATGTTGTATCGAAAGGTCTGGTGAGAATGACGGCGTTTGTGAACAAATCCATGATTGTTTATCTGATGATAAATGAAGTGGATTCCGCTGATTCAGGACTCTATTTCTGCGGCATTCAGAGGATGCATGGCCACATCACCTTCAGCAGTGCAACACTTCTACAAGTTAAAGGTAATTCAGACTGGTTACCTTAGATCTTGTAAATAACATTTACACTACATGTTCAGTTAAAAAGACTGATCTCTATAAAGCAGAACTAAGGAACATTGAATTCAATCATGTAAATGTATTCATTGTTTTTTCACTGTTTGTAGAGCGAAAGGAAACACTGAGATCAAAAGGTTGGTCATGTTTGATTCTGTGTTTATTCTGTCTTGTTGTTTGTTGTTTATCACTGCTGAACACTTACAGCTCTGCTTACTATGCTGAAGTACTTACAGTACGTTCAGTTCTTATTCTGAGAACACCTTCCAACAACCACAGAACAAAGCATGTGAACCCTTTCTAATGCTGGAACTCGCATGAAGGTTCATGAGAAAGTGGTGTTCATAGAGAAGAGCTTGTGTGATTGTGTGTAGTTTTAACTGCACATTTGAGGTTTTAAAAATCCAGAAATGTGTTTTCTATCTAGATGATGAAGCAGAAGAAACAGAAGGCCACTCTTTCAATATCTTCTTCATCTTGACTGTGATCTTTGGTGTTGCGACTGTGGTACTCATTGCTGTACTAATCTTATTAATAGGCAGAAAATAATAACATAGAAGGTAAAGTATTGTTATTATTTTGATGGCTAATTCATACAAACTCAATTCCAAAAATGTTGGGACTGTATGTGAAATGTAAATCAGAAAGAGGTTTTTGTAAATCCACTTTCATCTGTACTTAAATATAAACAGTACAAAGACAAGATATTTAATGTTTTATCTGGCCAATTACCTCATCACCTTATCACCGTATTAATTTTTATAAAACATACATTCAGTCTGAAACTGATGCCCACAACACAATCCAAAAAAGTTGGGACAGGAGGGATTTAAAGCTAGAAAAATTGTGAAAAGTTCATAAAATAATGGATGTTGTGTTCTCTGGGCCTAAGAAGTAAAAGACTCATTTTTATTAGCATTTTACACACTGTCCCAACGTGGAATTGGGTTTGTATAATAATGGGTCCTTTTCTTCTTTATTTTTTAATAATAATATTGCATGTTATTTATACATGATGTACAGACTCTGTATTGAGGTATTGGATATGGAGAATGTTTAAATGGAATTACAAAAAAGAGAAGAGAAGCACCTTAAATATGCTTTTAGTTTATTTAATGGCTTATTTATTTTCTCTTCATGTTTTACTACAGAAGCTGATTCTAAAGTGCAAGAAGACCATAGAGTAAAAATACAAATTTAATAGCAAAGATATAAGAGTTGCATTAAACTATGCTAAATGCTCGCTATAAACAACAGATGAAGAAACCATTTAACTTACAATGTTTATTGTTTTATATGCTTTCTTATACACACATTTTATGAAGCCTGTATTCATACATTGTTATAAATATGCTTGTAACTTTAGAACTTAGTTACAATGTTTTTTTTTTTACAACATTTTTTATTCGCTGCTTTATTTTGGATTTTATTTTTAATGCTGGAAAACTGACATGTTGACAATGTGATTGTTTATTGGTACTTCATGACCTGAATTAAACTACAAAGCATGTATTAGTGAGATATTCTATGCATGTACAGTGCAAAACATGAATGTAAATAAATATGTAAATTGTTTGATATGATCTTTTTACTCTGTTTACATTAAAGCTAATATTAATTAATGAACATATTTGAAGGTGTGGAAAAAAGTCAATTTTTCCATACACGAATTTACAGTAAATTGCAGGCTAGTTGCAGCTGTTCTGTAAAAATACAGGACCTGACCGTATTTTGATTATAGTTTATTACTGTAAGTGAACAGTTGAGTGCAGCTACGTCACAGTGGCACTCAGGTGGCTGTACAGACACAGTGTACAGTTCATTTTATTGTTATTTACTGTTGACATGGTTCAGTAAATTACTGTGAAAGTAATGTAACTAGCAGCCAGAAATTGACTGTAATTTTACTGTGATTTTTTTTTACTGTGTATGTTTAATTATTGATTAGGTGTCACTTATGTATTCTGATCATATTCAGACAAAACAGGTGTTCTTACTTTAAAAAATCTGTTTATTGTAACAGTTTATTAACAGTTTATAATTTTATTAGAATTTTAGAGAAATTAAATAAAAAACATTTTAATAATAATAGTTTATATTTGATTCATAAACAAGTTTAACATACTTGATGCACTTGGTGGTTTTAGTGATTTGGAATCTGTGGAATTCTCCACATTATTGAAGTGAATCAAAGTTTTGAAAACTATGTCTGTTTGTTTAAAGCTGGTGTCTGATGTGACTTTATGATGGAAACAGTTCTGGGGGAAAAACTTTTGCAAAAGTTGCAGCTTCACCACAAAGTAAAGGTAATAAGAAACCAGGGTGTGCCATGCAGGAAGCGCTCTGCGCAGGGCATCTTCCTGCCCTCATTCTCAGCACTTCTTTGCTGTGCTGCGACTGCTGTTCACTCATTTCATAAGAGTTATTAACAGTCTTTACTTTTTCTTCTCAATTATCATCATATTTATCAATACTTTTGCTGAAATTGTTATAATGGAAGCTTTACAAAGGAAAGAAAAAGTGCACTTGTAATCGACTCTCTATACTGAATATAGTACAACAACATTATTTGTTTTTGTATTTTAATGTTGACATGCAGTTGTGTTCAAACGTTTTGGGCGCCCCTGTCAAATTCCACATTTTTGTAGATTTTCTAAGTGAGAATAACATTCTGTACAGAGAACACAGTTCTGCACATTTTAATCCACAATTACTGCTCATTTGCTGAATTTCACATATTGGAAAAAAAGAAACATTGAATGTGGCCTGTGCGAAAGTTATGGCATGTTTTATATTTTATGTTTTAATAACGTTTTAATTTATAGATCTCAGTTTACATATTTGTTATTAATCCATGGATGGATTTAAAAATGAGTGAGTGTATAGGAACACAAGTGGGCTTTGTTTATTTATATACCTCATAATAAGATTATAATATGATTATAGTATAAGATTATATAAGATTATAAAAAGAGTATTACTTTAAAAAACAATGTCCTTTAACATTGCATATAACATATTTCAACAGTATAGCATTTACTACTTCATTATGTTTCCATTCCTTTATACACGTAACACTTAAAAAACACTGAAAAGACTGAAAACATCAACTGACGAAGCGTTTTAGCTGTGCAAAAGTTCAGGGTCTTTTTTGTCGCATTTTGCTTTTTAAAATGCACCATTCATTCTCTGTTTGGGGCAGGTTAGGACTGCAGGCAGGCCAGTCCAGCACCCGCTCCCTCTTTTTCCGCAGCCATGCCTTTATAACGTGTGCAGAATGTGGTTTTGCAGTGTCTTGTTGAAATATGCATGGACGTCCCTGGAAAAGACGTCGTCTTGAAGGCAGCACATGTTGCTCCAGAACGTCTGTGTACTTTTCAGCATTGATGGTGCATCACAGAAGTGTAAGTTGCCTTTGCTGAGGGCGCTGACACAACAACCACACCATGACAGATCCTGGCTTTTGGAGTGTGGATGCGTCACGGTTGTTACGATGTCAGGTTTGTAAAAATAGCAGAAGCCTTTTTGGTGCTTTATAGAACCATATATAGCCCCATGTCCAAAAAAACTGGGACACTGTGCAGAATGTAAATAAAAATAGGATGCAATGATCTGCAGATCATGTAAATCATGTTTTTAAAGGAAAATACTACAAAGACAACATATCAAATGTTGAAACTGAGAAATATGATTGTTTTTTGAAAAATATATGTGCATTTTGAATTTGATGCCAACAACACATTGCAAAAAAGTTGGGACAGGGGTCTGTTTACCACTGTGTCTCATCACCTCTTCTTTTACCAACACTCTGTAAGTGTTTGGGAACTGAAGAGACACTCCTGTAGTTTTGAAATTGAAATGTTTTCCTGTTCTTGTTTGATACAGGATTTCAGCTGCTCAACAGTTCAGGGTCTCCTTTCTTGTAATTTCATAATACAGCAAATGTTTTCAGTGGTGACGGGTCTGAACTGCAGGCAGGTCAGTTTAGCACCCAGACTCTTTGAATACGGAGCAATGCTGTTATAATACATGAAGAATTTGGTTCGATACTGTCTGAAAAAAGCAGGGCCTTCCCTGAAAAAGACGTCGTCTGAATGGCAGCATATGTTGCCAAAACTTGTATATATCATTCAGCATTAATGGTGCCTTCACAGATGTCTACGTCACCCATGCCATGTGCACTAATGCCCCCCTATACCATCATGAAAACGGGCTTTTGAACTGTGCTCTGATAACAAGCTGAGCGGTCTTTAGTCCGGAGGACACAGTGTCCATGATCTCCAAAAAGAGTTTTAAATGTTGATTTGTCGGACCACAGGACACTTTTCCACTTCCAGCTGCATACATTTGTGGATGCAGCTACAATCTTTTTTCACAGACAGTGGTTTTCAGAAGTGTTTCTGAGTCCAGAGATTTCTCCAGATTCTCTGAATCTTTTAATGATATCATGCACTGTAGATGACAAAAAGTAAAAATTCTTTGCTCTTTTATGTTGAGAAATATATTTATTTTTCATATTTAATACACTTTTGAAAAGAGCACCTCAATGTATTTTTCTTTCACAAGGTGGTGCAGAAGATACTGATACTGACTTTTCTAACAGATCTACAATAGTTTGGCTCTTGTTTAAGCCACACCCACTAAACTCTACCACAGCCTGGAATAGTTTTTGAAGTCAGTTTCTCCTGGTAACAGTACAGAGATGGTTCTGGCTCTGCTGCTCTGTGTTGTGGGTGAGTGTTAGTATTTCATTCAGGTCCCTGTTAAACTGATGAAAAAATAGCTGCACAATAAGCTGGTTGAGTTGTATAGCTGTGTAGTTGTGTAGCTGTGAAGTTGTGTAGCTGTGCACTTGTATAGCTGTGTAGTTGTACAGCTGTGTAGTTGTATAGCTGTGCAGTTGTGTAGCTGTGCAGTTGTATAGCTGTGTAGTTGTATAGCTGTGCAGTTGTATAGCTGTGTAGTTGTACAGCTGTGTAGTAGTATAGCTGTGTAGTTGTGTAGTTGTATATCTGTGTTGTTGGATAGCTGTGTAGCTGTACAGCTGTGTTGTTGTACAGTTGTGTAGTTAGCGAGGCCTAAAAACTCCTCAGAGCTGTAAAGGCTCTATTCATCTTATTCAGTGGAATATTTAACAGATTTGTCAGCTGAAACAGTGTTTAACTGTGTTTGTGTGTGTTGTGTGTTGCAGGTCTACTCTCAGTGTCTGGGGGCTCTCAGACCACCTTAATGTTGGAGGCAGAACCTGGAGATAACGTGACTCTTTGGTGCCATAACAACCTCACATATCTACTGTCCTCTATACAGTGGTTCAGACAGATAAATATTTCTGTTCCAGAGTTCCTTATTTCACAATATTACAGAAGGCAACCCAAAAGAACACATAGAATGATGATATTTGTGAACAACTCCACGACTGTTTCTCTCATAGTAAATGAAGTGGATTCCGCTGATTCAGGACTCTATTACTGCTGCTTTCAGAGGATGCATGGCCACATGACCTTCAGCAGTGCAACACTTCTACAAGTTAAAGGTAATTCAGACTGGTTACCTTAGATCTTGTAAATAACATTTACACTACATGTCCAGTTAAAAAGATCTCTATAAAGCAGAACTAAGGAACATTGAATTCAATCATGTAAATGTATTCATTGTTTTTCACTGTTTGTAGAGCGAAAGGAAACACCGAGATCAAAAGGTTGGTCATGTTTGATTCTGTGTTTATTCTGTCTTGTTGTTTGTTGTTTATCACTGCTGAACACTTACAGCTCTCCTTACTATGCTGAAGTACTTACAGTACGTTCAGTTCTTATTCTGACAACACCTTTCAGAAACCACAGAACAAAGCATGTGAACCCTTTCTAATGCTGGAACTCGCATGAAGGTTCATGAGAAAGTGGTGTTCATAGAGAAGAGCTCGTGTGATTGTGTGTAGTTTTAACTGCACATTTGAGGTTTTAAAGATCCAGAAATGTGTTTTCTATATAGATGATGAAGCAGAAGAAGCAGAAATAGAAGAACCAGAAGAAGCAGAAGGCCGTCCTTTCGATATCTTCTTCATCTTGACTGTGATCTTCAGTTTTGCGACTGTGATTCTACTCATCGTTCTTCTAATCTTTCATATGGCCAGAAAATAACACAGAAGGTGAAATATTGTTATTTATAGTATTGTTATTATTTTGATGGCTGCTTCATAAAAACTTGATTCCAAAAACATTGGGACTGTATGTGAAATGTAAATCAGAAAGTACGGTTTGTAAATCCACTTTGAGCTGTATTTACATATAAACAGTACAAACATAAGATGGTAATGATTTATCTTA